TATATATATATATTGGGTCATCTAAAAAGTATCCGCGGTTTTTTATCACTAGATGTGTGTTGATGGTACTTTGTCACTAGATATATGACCATCAACACACATCTAGTGACAAAAAACCGCGGATACTTTTTAGATGATCCAATATTAACTGTCTTTCTCATTTAAAAAACTTTATTATTAACATAATATATGATCTGTATATATAATATACAGATCATAATGACTTCATCTCCCTTACTTTTTCATGTTCCAAATTTGTTCAACTCAAGTAACGTACTCTGACTTATTCTTTTCTCCACTATTCCAGGTTCTTTAGAGTTGGCAGAGTCGAGTTTTGGAACGCAGTTGAGAAATGGCAGTGAAATCGATATCGAATCGACATCGATTCAATATCAATTTGATGATTTCGACGTGGAATTGATATCGATGTCGATTTCATTGTAATTTTTCATTGGATTCGGGCTAATTGGTTAATTTTTGACGATTTTAGATTTAGTAGGTATAGTTTTACATTCGTTGTATTATACCTACTACATTCACTACACCTGGGCATTGTTAGTTTTCGCAATATGTGTAAATGTTGAACGCAATATAATGTTGAATTTATACAAAATAGAGACTTTTCTCAAATGAAAACAACAATGAAGACATCTTCCCCAAATGATTTCTATCGATTCATAAAACACATTAAATAAAATTGCTGTTTGCTAACTTGACGCATGATAAAAAAATTGTTAATGACAAGAAAAATACTATTATCAACTCAAATGTTTAAATACTTTTTCTAAATTTCCTCAAACAATACCCAAATTATGTAGACATAAATAAGCCCGGATCTTCATACGAGCAACAGCTCTGATTGAACGCTCACCGAATGCTGATTGAAAAAACGGGCGATGGGGATAAATTTTATCCCCACAATCGGCTTTTCACTAATCTGCATTTGGTGTCAAAGCGCTGTTGCCCATATGAGGATCCGAGTTAAATCAGAAATATTCAATTTGCCTGCTATCTTGTCAGTAATGCTAATCTGTTGTCCTTCATTCATGATCGATCGCACGGCCAACAATAGAGCGCACCAATCAATTTCTTCTATTCAAATAACTATCATTATGTGACATAATCTAAAGAATCTAAGCAACTTCGTTTTTAATAGGTGTTTACGCACGGCGGATAAACATGGCGGTCGTTTAGGGGTCAGATCAAAAGTACCGACACAGAATGAATCAACTGTTTCTACCTATACTGTGCCTTAAGGAATTGACTAATCATAGTCGATTAAGATACAATTTCATGGTGTCGCAGTGATAAATTAGAGTCCCTCTAGTAAGAGTTAAAGTCATAAAGAGCACCGATCTCTGATTGGTCAGATTTCGAGTCCCTTTAAATGCCGCCATTTGCAGATATTTTCGATGGGGTAGTGAATCTGTAAATTGTTATGAACAACTGTTTCATGATGTAGGAGGCGCGAAATCGAACTGTCAACTTGAAATTGTACTGTTTCCGGCCAGTACCTGACACTTGACAATGGCGTCCTTTCGATCTTATATCTTAACTCTTATTAGAGGAACTTTAGAATAAATGATCACGTGACTGAATTCTCCCTCAATTTGCCCACTTTCTTATCGCCAGCGACACTGTTAAAAAGTTGGATTAATCCAACTTTTAGCGACATAGCTCTTATGCAAAGATTTAAACGTGGAACAGCAAGATGTAAGTATAATAAGGGTATTTACTTAAGTTATATTCCAAAACATTCCGAGAAAAATTTTATTCGAAATATATACAGGGTGTCATGAATATACGGCCCCACTCGTTCCGAGCAGTTAGAGCGGACTAAACTGAGTAGAAAAGTCCTCTATCATTTTGCAATACTCGCAATAATTAACGAGATATTAACGTTTAAAGATAGCTAAATACGCGCGTACACCCAATTTACTATTGCCGAAGATATGGCTTACCGAGCGCACGGCGCGCGGACCGCGGGAGCGAGAATGGCCTAGCAGGCGCGTCGCGCCGTTCGAGCTTAGAGGTTCTACCTGCTCGGGACGAGTGAGGCCGTATATTCATAACACCCTGTAAAACATGTAATGTATACTACAGTATTTCGAATAAAATTTTCCTCAGAGAGGACGTTTTAGAATGTAGCCTTACATATATGGATGTCATCGCAAAACTTGATAAAAATATACTCATTCGATACATTTTCATTCGAAATGAGAGAATGTATTAGTAGAATTAAGTAGAAAAATATGACAGCGATTATTCAGGTTAGAAAAACGAGTTTTCTTTATCTGAATAGTTATTAGAGCTACGTAATATAAACATCACTCGAGTGTCCTCGTATATTATCTTATTATCCAATGTTAAACGCAAAGATAAAATGATACATGGGAGCATTCGGGTAATATTTCCGAACATAGCCCAACTCCAACATTTAATAATTCATTTCGTGAAGCATACCATCATGTTTTCTGCCAGATTCTTTCATTTTGAGTGAAAATGTGTTGAATAAATATATTTTTATCAAATTTCGTAGTGATGCTCATATTCTAAATAATTATCATAATAAATAAATAAATACAAATTTATCAATAAAAAAATTTGT